GGGCGCCCTCGCAGAAGTCGCGGCGCCAGACAGGACCCGTTCAGCCACTTGACTTCCGACGTGCTCGCCGATCTCGATGCTAGTGACGAGGGCTCCTCGCGCTACCACGACGCCGGCCCCTTCGTGCCCGCCCACCAGGGGCATCTTCACGGGCAGGGGCCAGTCGCCCATCAGCGCGTGCAGATCCGTGTGGCACACCCCCGAGTATTTTATGTTCACGAGGACTTCGTCGGGTCCGGGGGTAGGGACGGGTATTTGTCGGTACTGCAACGGTCCGCCGATTTTATCGGCTACTTGGGCCCATTGGGATGTGGGGATGACGGATTTCGACATGTTTTTGCTCTTATCCTTGCTTTCTGGGTTCCTTGTTTGTAGGGTTAAGGGAGATTGGTTTGGAGGAGAGGGGGGGGGGTCGGGTTTTCCGCGAAGAGTTTTAAGGTACGGATTCGTGATTTGATTATGATTAATTCAGTGAAATGGCCTGGGAAACGACGCCATAATATGTGGAAAATTATCGTGGATGAGGGCGTTTCAGGACGAAATAGTCCTTGGACATAGGCAGCCGGGTCACAGGGATCGGCCATCATGCCACCAGAGATGAATCCCTGGATATGCGCAGTATAGGATGCTATCAGAAAACCAGGAACGGGTTTCGCGTTCGCCTCTGCCATGCCTATTCCCCACATGTTTTCCGGCTCCAAATAAGCTTTAGAGATAGTATGATCACGGATGCCAGTATCCATGGACGGTTGGCCCCGGCTCTGCTATTACATCACAATCCAGAGAACAGATGGGGGAGGAAGGTTTGCGGAAATGGCCATGTTTTAGAGCATATTTAAAATGTTAGGAATTTTTTTCCCAATCGAAAGTTTTTTGCCTACAGCAGGAATGTCTAGAGGTCCGTGTTTGTATAGAAACAACCACGGGGAAGCCTCGGTAGCAAAAGCCACTCTGCTTCGCTCTCCTATATAATTCTGGTAAAGTAATTTTTCTTTCCATTTCCTTGTCATTAATACATTTCTCTGATATTGAAACGTACCCGCCTTCGATTGATTTGACCATATATCATCATCATCGCCTCCCCCAGATTCTCTTCTCCAAAACTTCCTAGCCTTTTAAAACCACCATAGGAGTCCTTCAAGCACTGATCGGATGGCTGGTATGGTGGTGGCAATTGCTCCTACCACATTTGACACCATATTTTTAGCATTGCTGACTCTGCTGAAGAGAAATGCAGCAAGTTGATTTTTTATATTTAAGATGTGGCGGCTAGAGGTGGAACTTTTTTAAGGCCTGCTGATGTTTTGCGTTTAACTCTATTGAAACCACGTCAAACCGTAACCCCGCATACCAAAAAGTTACCGTTGGCTTTGAGATATTGCGAGAGTTTGTCCCCACTCAACCAAGGTTGGCGATGTTGCTCGAGTATTTTTCAATCATGTGGACGATGTATTTGTTGGAGCTACTACACGAGCCCAATCCCACGTGACCCACACAATACATATATTACTCGCCACTAGATAATAAACCAAGGATAAACCCTCTCACAGTATTTGTTAGGGGGTACTACGGCTACTCTATCACGTGCCCCTCAACATATTGTACTGCTCTCGCGTAGTTAGTTTAATAATAACAACCAACATTATCCTCCTACAAGTTATAACCTTTATAAGCTACAAAAGAGCTGTGAAATAATGTGTTAACTACATCTCCACACATTATTAAAAGCATGTTTAAACAGCTTGTTAATGATTTAAATTTAATAATGAATCTGAAATTAAATAAAACATCTGATTTAATAAAGAATTATATAATGATATGTAGAAAAAAAAGTTTTCAAACATTGAAAATATAATAAAAAAAACTGAATGCAAATCTATCAATATCTGCAATCAATAAAAAAATAATAACATTAAAGACATTTAAATCTGATGAAACAATTGAAGAAGAATCAAATAAATCAAGTATCAAATATAAAGATTTAATTAATAATAATATGTTGAATAAAATGAATGGCTTTAATAGCTGTGATGATATGAGTGAGAAAATTTGTATGAAATTGAAAATTGCAAAATTTCAGTATGAAATTCAATAAATAAAAATAAATAAAAATAAATTCTTTGTTAATAATAAAAATATTAATACAGATTTAATAAATTATCTGTAAAAAAGAAATAAAATATCTATTATTGTAAAAATTTTTAATAAATTTTATAATTAAATGAAATTTATAAAAAAATCAGTTGTACTGATTGAATTTGAAAATTACTTCATGTGAAAAAAAAAGATTCTTCTCACAATGAAACAATCTGAAATTAATGATATTTTTGAAAAAAAGCAAACTGATCTTGATGTTAATATCAGTACTAATATGCAATGGTTTTGAAAAGAATGTAATATGTGGTTATACAATTATATATGATTTTCAATTGCTTCACAGGTAAAATCTCATTTTACTGTGCTCAAAAATTCTAAATTATCTGCATTTTCTTTATAATTTATTATAGAAAATTACTTCACTGAGAGGTCTGCTGTTTTGACAATGAGATTATATAAAGAAATGATAAATATGATAATTTAATCAAAAAGTTCTGATCATATGTTTATTGAATGCTTAATTGTTATAAGAACTGATTATATCTATTTAAATTATAAAATTGAAGATTTCATATTTTTTAACTGTCTACTTATTGACATGAGCAGCCCCGGTGGCCGAATGGGTAATGCAGCCACCAGGTAGCGCCTTGGTGTGAGGATTTAAAACACATAAATTTAAAACTCACAAGAGAACAACATTACATTCAGAGTTAATTTTTTAACTTCTAAAATAAAAAAATGTGAATTTATTAAATAAATATTTTTGAATGAATTTATTATCTGATTTAATTTATTGTTTCTGAATTGAAAATTTGTATTGTAAGTATCAAATTCTACCTTTCATCAATTTTTTTATGTTTTTGTTATATTTTTAATATCATTCAATATTAAGCATATTTGTGTTTGTATAACCAACTCTTGCTTGTATTTAACATTACAGAATCCACCACAATGTATCCCGGGCTTGTATATAAATATAATGAAAGAATAATAATAATAATAATCTTTATCTTTTTTTTTTTTAATAGTAAAAAAATCAATCTTCTGTATTTTATTTAAAAATGAGATGAAGAAATTCAGATATTTTTCTATATACTGAGTTTTTAAAAATAGTTTTATTGACTGCAATTCAAAACATATATTGCTCAAGGCACAATAGAAGGAAAGAGTTTATATAAGAGGTATAAAATGTTGATGTATGAAGTATTTTTCATTTATTAAAAAAAGCATTTTGCTTATTAAAAATTTGTGCACAGATTACATCAGAAGAAATATCATTTTAAAAAAAAGTATTAATTTTTCAATTCAATTTAACTTTATATTTCAGTTTTTATTATAAATTAAATAATATAATTTGATTATTATAGATCTCATTATAATCTGTATAATGATTGAATTCATCAATTGAATTTTTTAATTCAGAATCATGTAGTAATATAAAATTATAAACAGATAAAGGTTTCATTTATCTGATTTAACATCTGTTCAGTTTTTTAATCATTATAAAATACTGCAAATTGATATGATCAGATCAGATTTGAATTGAATACTGATTTCTTTTCAAATAATATTTTCAATTTTTAAATACTGTTATAATAATCAAAAGTTTTTTATTATAAATATCATAATGCATTTCCACATCAATCAATTTTTTTAATCAGAAAGTAACTGAATGTCAGTACTTGTAATGTGACGGCGCCGAGGCGGTTGCTACTCGGCAGCGGCACAGAGGAGGATGGTATATAATGGGAAGCCTTATGGGTGGGCTTGATTATCTCGCTGAACCGCGAACTCGTAAAATACTATACAAATACTGAACTACCAGAGGTACTCGGCACACTAAGGATATTGTATGAGGACAGTGGTAACTCTGGTATTTTATTGTCAAAAGATAAAAGACGAATCGCTGGCTCCTGGAATAGAGAGCCAGCATTTAGCTATTTTATATAGACAACGGGCAGCCATCCTCCCCTCACTCTATGAGCGAGGGTAGCCGAAGCAACTCCGCAGTGGCGCTGCATTGATCTGCCAGAAGGAATCCAGACCCCGTATAGAAACAGGATTCTCATATCTCATCAATCGGATCCTCTTCTATTGCATCCGAATGATGTCATAGGGTGGTTGGAAACCGGTTCGGACACCTGCGTGATGTCATGGGATAGATGGGATTATCCGAGGGGAAACGATGGGCCGTGTGGAGCCGTCACGGGGCCTTGGCACAACCAAGGGTGTGACAGTACTTATTATTCTGCAATTATGACAAAATAGCAGTGATTATAAAAATGAATACATCAGATTCAATTTGAATTAATAGAAAAGTATATATAAAATGTGATTTGAATTTATTGAAAGCATTTTAAACATTTTCTGTTTACATGAAAATGGCTTTGCTTTTTTCTTTTTTACTCTCTTTTATAAGTTTGAATAATGGGGTTGTAATGAAGGAGAAAGACTTAATAAATCACTGATAGAAATTAGCAAAGTTTAAAAAGAATTGAATTTCTTTAATTGATTTAAATATAGATCATTTCACAATAATGAAGACTTTGTCTGATTTTATCTTGACATTATTTATATCTATAATAAATCTCAGAAATGAGATTTTATCTATTTCAAATTCACATTTAAAGAGATTTGCAAATAGATTTATGCATTTGACAAATTTTAATATTTTAATAACATACACCTTATGTTTCTGCTTTGAATTGAAGAATATGGGAATGTTATCCAAGTAGACAACACAATATATATTCAACAAATCAGACAAAACATTATTAATGTATGTTTGAAATATCACTGAAGCATTAACTAATTCAAATAATATAATTATATATTCAAAATATTCATATTTCATTTTAAAAACTATTCTTCAATAGTTTTTTACTCTTATAAATATGCAGTGATAGACATTTTAAAGATTTAGTTTAATGAATATTTTGACTTTTGAAAGTTTATCAAATAATTCATTTATTAAAGATAGAAAGTATCAATTCTTAATGATGATTTAATTTAATTTTTGATAATCTACACAGAGATGAAATTCATTATTTTTTTTAAAAAATAAAAAAAATTGATGCATCAGCTGAGTTATTGAATGATTGTATTCATTTTTTATTTTTTTAAAGCAGCTAACTCAGTTTTAGAGAAATTGTATATTAATACAAATAAAGATTGCACATCAGATTTGAGATCAATACAATGTTTTGCTTTTTGGAACACAAACCCTCTTAAATTCCATGCACGAACTTCCCAACCTACCTTTTCAACGATACCATGACCTGGTGGTATAAGCTGCTGTATAGACATGCGGCTCTCCATAAGTCAGGCTTTCTCTCCCACTCAATGTGTTTTTGCGCTTCGCCGCAAGTCTCGCTCCTTGATCAGATCCTCTGTGCTCTCATCAGCGCTTCATCAGACACGAACATTGACCATGTCATTGTCTTGCCTTGGAGGTTAGTATGATCACATTTCAATTTGCAGGACCTAACGGTTATCTAGATGTCCGCTGGGATGACGATAGCTTTTATCACTACACTGGTGGCCGTTGGCTGTTTAACGAGGCGGAGCAGCTCGCTGACCGATGCGTGAAATTCAACATGGCCGAGCTAGTCAGAGTTGCGACTAAAAGTCTAGGTTGTAGCCCATCTTCATGTGTTAGTGTGGAAAAGCTTCCGGAAGGGAATTATAACAAAGCTTTCCTCATCAAGATGTGTGACGGGCGGCAAGTCGTCGCCAAGGTACCTAACCCCAATGCCGGCCTGCCTTTCTACACCACCGCCAGTGAGGTTGCGACGATGGACTTTGTAAGTTAACTCTACTGCTCTGAACAAGCAATGAAGCTGAACTTCCTACGGGTAAGGAATATCGCCGGAATCCCGTCACCAAAGGTGTACGCGTGGAACGCTCGTGCCACAGGCAATCCTGTTGGAGCTGAGTATATTGTCATGGACAAAGCTGATGGAGTCCTGCTAAGCTCCAAGTGGCCTACTCTGAGCATGAAAGAAAAACACCAGTTGACGCAGGTTATTATTGATTTTGAGCGGAGCCTTCTTTCACACCACTTTGAGAATATTGGAAGTCTTTACTATGAAACAGATCTCGCTGGTCTGCAAGATAAGTTCTCTACCACTGGTTACTCTGGTTTTGCCATCGGCCCCACTACAAACCGACAATTTTTGGAAGACGGACGAAGAAATTTCGATTCAGACAAAGGGCCTTGTCGGTATTCCATTTATTTTTATTTTAATCTGATTCAATCCTTTTGCTGACTTCTATGTGTCTACAGGGAGCACCGCTAGCGAATATGTACTCGCCTCAGCGAGGCGCGAAAGAGAGTGCATCCAGCGATCCGCAAAGTTCCCGAGACCGGAAGGCATATTCGGTGGGCCGAGGTCTTACGAGCCCACGGCTGACGCAAAGCTTGCAGTCCTGGACAATTTTGAGAAGGTGGCTCCTTATCTACTTCCCAAAGATACCTCAGTCAACATTCCTGTTCTATGGCACAGCGATCTCCATCATGACAATATCTTTGTCGACTCAGCGGACCCATCGAAGGTACTTTCTATCATAGACTGGCAGTCAGTATATATAGCACCACTTTTCCAGCAAGCCACAACCCCGGCATTCTTAGACTTTGACGGCCCAAAGCAAACGGAGGGTCTCTCAGTGCCATCTTTACCGAATAACTTTGGGGAGCTAAGTCTTGTTGAAAAAGAGCGAGCCAAGACCTTGCTAGCACACTAGTCTCTATATAAATTGGATGAAATTACAATT